GGAAGCCATTGTAATCCATAAGCTGTACTTTGGAAATTTATATTTTTAAATAAAAGTTAAAAAAAATAAAAAAAATTCTAGTAGTATCTCAAGGGACATCAGATAACTAAAACAATTTTCAAAAAGAAAAAGAACTGGAGGTCACACACTTCCTTATTTCCAATCATATTACAAAGCTACAGTGAGTGATCCAAATAGTATGATACTGACATGATAGACATATAGCCAGAGAACCAAATTAGTAAACTAGCAATAAACTCTTGCAATCATGATTAATGATTTTTGACAAGGTTATCAAAACCCACAATGGGGGAAAGGACAGTCCCTTACATAAACAGTGCTGGAAAAACTGGGTATACACATACAAAAGAATGAATTTGGGTCCTTACCTCATATCACATACAAACTAACTCAAAATGGATTGAAAATTTAAAGAGAAGCTCTGAAACTAGTATACTTCTAGAGAAAAACATAGGATAAAGGCTTCATGACATTGATTTTGTCAATAATTTCAGGCATCAAGTAAAAAATGGCCACATAAGATTACACCAGATTTTAAGACTTCTCTCCATTGTAGGAAACAAAGAGTGAAAAGACAACTTACCAAATGGGATAAAATGTCTGCAAATCATGTATTTGATAAGGAGTTAAGACTCAGAATGTAAAACAAATTCCTGAAACTCAACTAGAGCAAAGCAAACAACCTGATTTTAAAATGGGCAAAGGACTTGAATAGATATTTCCCCAAAGATATGTCCCTTGGAATTATTCAACACAATTTTTTCTGTAGGGGTCCCTGGATTAAGCATAACTGATTTTAAAACAACCAACAGGTAGGTAGGCATGACTTTCTTCAGCTAAAGAAAAACTTGACAGGGAGCTTAGCATATTCAGAAGTGATTATACTCCGTAGCATAGAAAGTACTAAATAATGGTGGCTTACAGATACATGCATTTATTTTTCTCCATATTAAAAGAAAAACCTGAAATAAGAGCTTTCATCTGGGATCCAAGTTCATCTATCTTTCTGCTATACTATCGTCAGCATTGGTGCTTGTGCTAAAGGTTACCTCATGTTTCAAGACAACTGCCAGAGAGCTGGAGCTTTCATAACTATATTCCAGGAAGCCTGTAGGAAGAAAAGAACAGAACAAAATGGAATGAGCCTTTGGAGATGTTCTCTAGCTTGTATTTCATTGGCAGAAGCCAGAAAATATTGTTGTTTTCCTTAGCTGGCCATATTGTTTAGGTAGAAGGGGAAAATGGAGAATGGGTAGGCATTAGACAGCTGTGATCAATTGGAAGTTGTAAACTTAGCTGAATAAATGATAAAATGCATTTACTATGATAGACTTACAGAATTTATTTTTTCAGGTAGAGAAACAAATGCTACTAACTCACCAGATGAAATCAAGTAAGGTATTATACATTCTCTGAATTGTATATAAATATGTTTAAAATTGCTGACAATTAAAATATTGCTTACTAAGGAGACTTGCAAAGCTAAGTATTAAAAATAAGCCAAAAAATTTGAACATTTGTTTAGGTCTCTGACCCAGAGTCCCTTCATATGAATATTTAATTTAAAATTATCTATGATAACAATATTTTGCTACTTTACTATTTTACAAAAAACAATTTTTAGTTGTTTTAAATCAATAGCTTCTTGGTTACACAGTTGACGTGCTACAGAAACCAATGATGATGGAAGCATCTTTCCAAAGATCTAAGGCTACCGCTACCTTCTTGCATGAGGTAAAACTCAAATAATGTTCCCAACTAGAGTGGGGAAAAAAAGCACACACCTTGCAACCAAGAGTGTGGGATTTAGCAAATAGTGGAGGAGGGGGCGCTGGAACAGGAGCATAAAATCCAAATTTTCCTGAGCTTGGTTTTCAGAGAATGTTCCAGAAGAATTTACCTCGTAGCATGGCACTCAGAGGGGCCAGACCACCACAAACAGGGACGGTTGAAGGTGTATGACACTAGTTTGAGTCAGAGCTTCATGATCTAAGCTAAGTTTTCCTCGTTGTAATGGAAATTCTCCATCCAGGAGAAGAGTGTGCCACCATCTGCTGTGTGAAGATGCATGTCGCTCACTTGTGTGAGCAGGAAGAGTCTTCCTCCTCTTCTTTTGCTACCTCTTGAACACTCCCCTAGCCCTGGCTATAAAAACACTAGCAAAACCCTTCTCAGAGAGGTGGTTTCTTCAGAGAACTCTGCCTCCCCACTGTCCTCTTTACTTGTCAGAAATAAATCAAACTTTCCTCTTAGCAGCCCCCACTTCAGGCTGCTTAATTGGATACATCCCAAGCAGACTGATCCCTTGTGTCTGGAAACAACTCTGGACCTTACACATCCAGATGAGTCATCTTTCAAAATAAGCCCAGATATCTTGACATTTCCTTCTAATTACAATTATTATCTTTGAGGTTTTGACAACTTTCTTCTTCTAGAAATGGGCATTAAAGCAAGGAAAGGTGGCAGCAGGGCATTGTTTTATGATAGGTTAATAAGAGTCATGAATTTTTTTGGATCAATAATATTATCCAGCTTGATAATAATATATCCATCAGATGCAGCTCCAAATGACTAAGGAGTTGCTACCATTGAGGTCACTGGCATTGACAAGTTAAAACCAATCAATTCACTTCATCTGAACTCTTCATTATTTGAAAAATAATGAGGATAGATTAGATAGTCAGCTGATCTCTCAGTCCCCTTTCAGAAAGACGCTCAGTGACTCCATACAATTGTCTTTGGTACCTGCGGAGGATTATTCCAGGAACCCCATAGACACCAAAATCTACAGGTTCTCAAGCCTCATATAAAATGGTGCAATATTTACACAGAGCCTCTGCACAACTTCCTGTATATGTTAAATCACCCCTAGATTAGTTATAATATCTAATGCAGTGTGCCATGTTATTTAGGAAATAATTACAGAGAAAAGGTCTAAATGTGTTCAATTCAGATGCAATTTTTTTTCTCTGGATAGTCTCTATCAATTTGTTGAATTTGTGGTTATGGAACCCATGGATACAAAGAGCTGACTGTAATCTCTTTTGATAACTCTGTACTTTAGTTTTTACACTTAAAAATTTTGTAATTTATTATTTATAAATATTAATAGCTTTTATTACAATCTAAAATATAGATAATCAAAACCCCACATTAACATAGCCACATGCACAATATACACTGTATATATAAAATAAATGAATGCATATTTATTTTCAAAATACAACATACAAAAGATCTAATCGAAGTTCAAATTGAGTTAACTTATGTTACATCCCTGCAGGCTTCTCTAAAAGCTAAACCTCTGAAGAGGAGAAGAAGTAGGGAAGGAAATTAACACTTGTTAGAAGACTGCTAGTAGTTAGGCAATAGCTAGCAACTCTTGTTGTAAATCTTCAGTCAGTGAGGCTCCTGGAGTCATAAAGCCTACTAATTGCTTCCAACAGAAGGGATATATAATTTATTTTAAGCAACCTTTAAACACTGCCTACTTATTACCAACATACTGCCCACGCTGTTCCAATTAACATTTCTTCCTAACGTTTACTCCTAGTCTCAAGAACTCAGTAGACCAGCTACTACAGTTTTGTCAGTATAAGGTATGAGGAAATACAGATTTCACTGTTATGTGATCCCCAATTTGATTTATATGAAGAGACAGAAGCATATTCTCATACATGTGTCCTTCATAAATTCTAAATTGCTGCATTCCAAATACCCCTTGCCCATTTTCACTGAATTGCCAACAACATAAGCTCAGACATTTCAACTAACCAGTCTGGTAGTACAGAGTGCAGCCCTGTTACCACAGCCTAAAGCACTATATTTTTAACACAAAACCTTTGATATTTGAGATAAGCATTAAATTTATCTGAGAGGTTTCCATTTTAAACCAAATCAGTGTTTCATTTCTCACTTGCTGGATTTTTCAAACTGTTTACAGATGAAAAGAACTCTGTGTGCAATGAACCATTCAGTCCATTTCAGTTGGATGTATGATATTTTCGTTTCTAACAAAAGTGCCTGTAAATCCCAAGGCAGACCCATGCTGGTTTTTCCCTTAATGTAAATTACCCCTGTGGACTACTACTTTAAAAGTTCAGCCAATAGATAAATTTCCTGTGTCCCTTCCAGTCCTTCTGAGAGTAATTTCCACAATCTAGCAAAACAAGCTAGCTGTAATCAGATTTCTATGTTTAAAACAAAACAAAAAATATAAACAAGTTGATTGACACTGATAAACCACAAAATTTTCTAGGGAAAATTTGAGCTGAAGGCTCTAGAGGGAACTAGTCCCTGGCATAAAGTTGCACATATCCACTTTTTATATCTCTAAATTCCCACTGGTTACGGTGGCAAAACAAGAAGGAAACAAAAGTTGAGTCCTATTGGGTTGCTATGTAACTAACACCTGCAGATCAGAAGAGAAAAGAAAAGGTATCCAGGAATCCAATAAAATATACCTGAGCAAATGTTTATTTGAGCCTTGAGGAAATGTGCTAAAAAAAATGTATGGAATTATCATAGATTCATATGATCCTGGTGCAAGTCAACAGGATCCATTTACCGTATCAAGAGCTCCCGTTGGCACATCTGGGTCTCAGAACATGTTATTACTGCATCCATAACAAAACTGATGGTGTTCAGAACTGTGCTTCTCTGGTCATTGTCAGTAATAGTAACAATTTCTTCTATGGGAGACACTATGTTTCTAAGGTACTTGCACCTCTTAGGAATCTGCTCTTAACAACATTTATTTAATGTTCTCTCCCTTTTATAAGATTTCACTTATTTATTTGAAAAGTAGAGTTATAGATTGAGAGAGGAAGAGACAGGTCTTCCAACCACTGGTGCACTCCCCAAATGGCTGCAAGGGCCAGGGCCGTGAGAGGCCAAAGCCAGGAGCTTCTTCCTGATCTCCTATGTGGGTGCAGGGGCCCATGCACTTGGGCCATCCTCCGCTGCTTTCCCAAGCACCTTAACAGGGAGCTGGATAAGAGGTGGAGCAGCTAGGACTTGAACCAGTGCTCACATGGGAAGCCGACTCTGCAGGTGGAGGCTTAACCTGCTATGCTAAAACGCAGTACTCTCAATAACAATTGCTTAACAAAGTTTAAAAAAGCAAAATATTTATTAAAATCCAAACAGGAGGCAGTTTTTTTAGCAATCTCTTTTTGTAAATCACATAGTCCACAACAGCTCTTTAAGTCTAAAATATGCTTCCTTTCCTCCAATAAAAGTAAGAATTAAAAGGAAAAGGCACCTCAGGGCCTGCGCTATGACATAGGGGGTAAAGCCACAGCCTGCGGCATCAGCATCCTGTATAGACACCGGTTCGAGTCCTGGCTGCTCCACTTCCAATCCAGCTCCCTGCTATGGCCTGGGAAAGCAGTAGAAGATGGCCCCCTGCATGCACGTGGGAGACCCGGAAGAAGCTCCTGGCTCTGGACTTCGGATAGGCGCAGCTCCAGCCACTGCAGCCATTTGGGGAGTGAACCAGTGGATGTAAGACCTCTCTCTCTGTGTCTCTACCTCTCTCTGTGTAACTCTGACTTTCAAATAAATAAAAATAAACCTTTAAAGGCCGGCGCCGTGGCTCAATAGGCTAATCCTCCACCTTGCGGCGCTGGCACACCAGGTTCTAGTCCCGGTCGGGGCGCCGGATTCTGTCCCGGTTGCCCCTCTTCCAGGCCAGCTCTCTGCTGTGGCCAGGGAGTGCAGTGGAGGATGGCCCAAGTGCTTGGGACCTGCACCCCATGGGAGACTAAGAGAAGCACCTGGATCCTGCCTTCGGATCAGCGCGATGCGCTGGCCACAGCGCCCCAGCCGCGGCAGCCATTGGGGGGTGAACCAATGGCAAAGGAAGACCTTTCTCTCTGTCTCTCTCTCTCACTGTACACTCTGCCTGTCAAAAAAAAAGAAAAAAAAACTTTAAAAAAAAGGAAAGGCATCTTTGAACACCCCCTTCCTGCTGTCCCATAGCTTCACTTTTCTTTCCTAAGGAGGAGTATTAATCTGAAATGCTCAGTTTCAGGAATTATACAACCTGTTTGGCTCTGAGGAAATCTGTTTAGGAAATAATTTAGGATTAACAGCAGCAAAAATCAA